ATATTTGGTGCTATTCTGGTTTTTCTCTGACAGAAGTTAGTATATGCTCAAATCCTTCTTTGGCAGTCTACAACAATGGTTCTGCATTGTGCTGTAGTGGATGTGACTACGCCCTTTAACTCAGTTTTAGAAAAGTCTTTAGTCACTGTTGTTGCTTTTTCTTTTTTAATTCAGAACAAATGGATGTGCACACGCATATTAATTCATGCAGATTTTACTTGTTTATAAAACAATGGCGCTTCTGTAATCACGCTGCTCTTCTGTGGCTGCACCTCTATACATTTTCCACAGTTCTGCTGTGGTGCTGATTTGTTATGTCCTTCCAGTACTTCTTCTTTTAGTCTTAATCATCTGCATTCCTGGCAAAGCCAGCAGTGTCAGCGGTGCGTTCAGTTCAGCGGTGTGCCAGCTCAAGATTATCATTGTGTGAACAGGCCTGTCTGCTGCAGCTCTGTCTGGGAGCTTAATTAGCACTCGGATTGCTCAGTAAGGAGATGGAAATTTAATTGGCCAGACAAGGGGTATGGTAAGGGCCTCAGTACTGCAGCAGACCACTAGAGCAGAAGCAGTTACTAATGATAGTAAAGATAAAAGGATAAAAAAGCAGAAAGGAAGGAAGTGAAGGTGGCAAGTGAAGGGAATGAGATGGATGAAAGACATGGAGAAAACATTTTGTTACCTTCATAAAAGCCAGAAATGATAATTAAAGATTGAATGGAGGTGGGTAAGTGGGTGGCTGCGGCGCAGGACATAATAGAAGCAAACTGAAAGGAAACAGCTCAAAGTGAAATATGAAATTATGTTACGGCCAGTATCCATTAACAGTGCTGTTTGTGTGATGATTGGCTAATCCACCTCATTACAGCTGTCAGACAGCTGGAGGATGCACTCTGCCACAAAAAAGTTGTAATTCAACCAGTCCTGATTCTGTTAAGTGATGGCAGTTTGGATAGAGATGTATATTAGAGCGGAGCAGCCAGTGCATGTGCTGCAGACACAGGCTGGACCAAAGCCCAGATATTTAAAACAGACTCAAGTGCAGTGTTTTTGCAATGCAGTTGATATTTTTCTTGTTTTAATAGAGCACACAAATCATTTAGAGGGGGGTTTAGTCAGATTGCACAGTGTACTGTAATGTAGTGCAATGATTTTCAAAAAATCAAAAAAAAAAAAACTTTTGTAATTGAATTTCCCTCCTTAATTCATATAATTAGAGCTCAGTTAGATGGAATGTTATCAGCGGGCATAATTGAGAGACATTCTCAAAAACAGGAATTTGAAGATGCTACTTTGGGCGCGGTATTCACCACTGTTTGATATTTTTTAGGCTAAAATGATGGATTTTACTTGGATTCACCTCAAAACATGTCAGTCTTTCTTTTATGTTTTTCATATTCAGTGTGTATATTGGTCTTCTGACTCTAAAAGAGGCCTTAGTGCGCATCTACAGGCAGCCACAGCACAAATTACTGGTGGTGAGATCACTGCTGGGAAGCCGTTGCAGTGCTGCATTTGCATATTGAAAAGACACATACCCAAACACTGAAAGAAGGCCAATTCCCCCCCTCACTGAAAGCAGTGGACAGGTGAAAAAAGATCTCATCCCATTACAAATGGACCTCAATAAATAAATAAATAAATAAAATTCCTACCTGCTAATGCCTCTTTTCGGTCTCTGATGGGAATTGCTCAGATCCCCTCCCACACACACACAAAGAAAATAGAAAAGAGCGAAATCGTCCTGTAGTTTGAGGATTGTGAATAGAGTGCCCCGCAGCCTGCCTGCCTGCCCCACATACGGCGTCTGAATACAAAAGACCCCCTTCTGTAAGAGCAATCACTCTGGGAGACCAGTCAATCCGCACCGCTGCAGTGACAGGCCACAATGAAGCCATCAGCACATGCTCGAGTCACACGCTCTACACGTGCACGCACTCACAAACACAAAGACAGACACCTTGCATGTAGCTGTTTGTTTCTTTAGCTCATATAGTCACATGCATGGCCACACACACAAACCTGTCCCCCAGACCTCATGGCTAATGCATTCTTTTCATTCTCCAGTGCCAGGCAGGAACAGACAGGGAGCTGAGTGGATGGTGCTCATTTGAATATTTAAATTATTTATCAGCAGAGAGTATTAAGACCTCAGGATATATGAAGAGACATGAGGGAACTGGGTAAATCTCTCCATGTTTGGATTTGAGTGTGTTCTGGGACAGGAAAGTGAGCGACCATGGCTGCGGTTTTAATTCTTGATGGAAACTATTTATTCTGTTCCAGAAATGAATCAAAATCATTCATGAGCATTTTCAGGAAACCATGTATTAATTTGGGAGTGTCATTGTTTATATACTCTCAAAACATTTGAGTTAATGTATTAATAAAACTTTCAGTGTTGGTAATCTTCACATTTAGTATGTTTATTGCTCATGTTTGCCAAATCCTCAGACGCTGTGCTCTGGTGCGACTGTTAAACATTTGATAAAAAATAGCTCACTGTGGAAGTACAGTAAAAAGGAAAAGCTTTGTAAACTGAGTGATGTAATGCCCTGGGTCCTTTAGAAATATCTTTGGCTTCAGAACCTGAGAAGCACAGTTCACCGATGGAGAACAGTCCTGGGAAGTGGAGGAGTTTATTACGGCGCATGCAATGACAGGGCAGTAGACTTGAAGTTAAAAACATTTAACTTAAGAATTATTCACTGAGTGATTATCACCTTGGCACTGGGTCTGTGTGTTGATGTGCCATTTTACTTTTGTTTCACTTGAGTGTCAGTGTTTTGCTTTTACTGTACCTCAGTCTGCGCTCACTGGGTGGCAGCTCAATCTCTCTCCCTCTCCCTTTATGCACTCAGCACTAAGTTGCAATCTCCAGACAAAGGAAGTCCTCAGCTGGCTCCCTGTTGCTGTCTTCTTCCCTCTCTGGTGCACTGTGCACAAACACAGAAACACAGACACAGAAACAGCGCTAATGATATTCAGACCCTGACAGAAGAAGGCTGCCACTGGGTCAATGCAATCAAATCCTGTTAAATTGAAAATTGAGCTATTCTCACTTAAGTTTACATGCAGTATGAAGCATGGTTTAAAATTAAATCAGGTTGTGTTGTGTTGCCCCCAGAGGACAGGACAAGGTGTTACCACCCACTGTCCCTTATCCCCTTATCATTTGATGTTCTGCATGATGTAAATTTAACAATCACCATGGTTTTTCTGCATTACTGGTCTGTTTTATAATTAATTAAGGTGCTTTAAAATAACACTAGCTGCTTGTGTGATGCTTTAAATTGCATCAACTTGCTGTTGTTTTCTAACTGTGAAGTCTGTGAACTGAAGTTTTTAATTCAGTTCATTTAAATAAGTTTCAACTTGTTTTATTAATTGTAGTGTTTAAAATGAACCCAGGTGTCGACATGGTGATTATGTCTAAAGCGGAATTAATCACCACACACGTCCCAGTGTCTTCAGAATCCTTTTCATGGCTACCTCAGACATCAGCCACACAACACTATGAGAAAATGTTTTTGAAAAAATCCAGTACAGGTCTAATTTGTTTCAGCATGTTTCTTCAGATAAAGTGGCTCCTCTGATTCCTTATTTACTGGAAAGCTTTGGCAGAAAAGGAACTATTGTATATAAAACACTGCTAATATAAAAAAAATATTTTCAATTTCAACCCATTTTCCATTATCCCATTTCCAGGCTTTCTTTGTTACACCATTGTTTGGTAGCCTGATTCTTTTTCGTCCAGGAGGCTGCTTAGCTTCAGAAAAATAGATTTTGCATTGCTATTTTTAGTTTAATTAACAGTTTGTTTTTATGCAGATAGTGTTTTCTACATTGCATTGTGTTTTGTGTGGATGATTTTACATTGTTCTGATAAAGGAAAAGCAATTTTAGAACATGAATTCAGCTTTCTATTAATCATTTTTTTGGAAAATTAAATTGATAACAGTTACATAGATGTCATGGTCATTTCTGAAACTCAAGCCTGATGCCCACTCATCAGAAGTCATTGCCAGTGGTTTCCATTCCGCTGCTCAGACAGTGATTCCTATCCTAATGATAGAACGATGACCTGTCCCCTCACCCACTGCCAGCTGGGATTGGCTCCAGCCCCCACCCCCACCACACCCTGTTCAGGTTAAGTGATATAGATAGTGGATGGATGGAGAGAGAAAATACATTATTATTAATTGTAGCACTATAAAAAGTGGAGATAAAACCAAACAACAATGTACACTGGTTTCACTGCAGATTGATTTTCCTTTTTACCCCTGTAACCAGCTCCCTTTTGCTGTGTTTTATTTGCATTTGGTAGTTTCCCCCTGGCCCCTGTTTCCGGCAGGGTGCCTAGAGTCAGCAAAATAACATTTGGAAAGATTTTTATTATTGACAGCCAGTGTGTAACATCTGTCAGCTTCATGATTTGATTGAATTTCAGATTTCAATTATTTCTAACCATACTGTCTGGTGAGGCTTCGCCCACTCGACTCTGAGTTGATGCTGCCATCCCATTCATCACTCTTAATCCCTGCAGTGAGCCTCATTTGTTGTAGGCTGTGAGTCTACACTAATGCAGCTTGTGTCCTCAGTAACGATCCACTAATTATGAGAATCCACAGCAGCTTCAGAGGCGTGAAACCACCTGTCCATGTGTATGCGTACGCAGCACGTACATATGTGCGTGCTGCGTGTGAGTGAGAGAGAGAGACAGCAAGCACGTCTGTGTATTTAATCACACACTCTGTGGCCTGGTGATTTAATTTGACATTGGCACTGCATTTTTCTGTTAAATTTCATTTGTGAGTGGATCATCCGGGAGGTGGAAAACATTATCCCACATTAGGCCACATGTGTCTTCAGATGCAGGGGGATTGAAAATAACAGATTATTTATTTATAGTGACATGTTTAAAATACTTAGTTTTTGTTTTATTGAGTTTAAAGCTGCTGTAATCTTTATTTATGGTTAATTTATTTGTTCTGCTCTTCCAGCCGAGCCATCAAGACCAACCAAGACCTCCTCCCTGAAACTCCGTGGACAAACATCCTGTACGATGACTTCTGGGGCACCCTGCTCACTCACAGCGGCAGTCACAAGTCCTTCCGTCCACTCTGCACCCTCTCCTTCCGCCTCAACTACACCCTGCACGGCCTGCGTCCCTGGGGCTACCACCTGGTGAACGTGGTCCTGCACGGCCTGGTCACTGCCCTCTTCACGGCCTTCAGCCGCCCGCTGCTGGGCGGAGAACTGTGGAGCCTGCTGGCTGGCCTGCTCTGGCTGTCCTTCTTTTTGCTTCTCATCCGGTGCACACGGAAGCGGTTGCTGGTGTGGTGGGGAGGGCTGACGTTGGCGCTGCATTGTTTTTCTTGATGTCACTTTACTGCTACATGAGACACTGTGGACTCCGCAGGGATGCCCACGGGTCCTTTCACACCAAGCAATGTGTTGGCAGATCAGTCACCTGGTGCTGGGGCTGGATGCTTGGCAGCCTGTTGTGTGCAGCAGCCAGCATGCTGTGGAAGGAGCAGGGGGTGATGGTGCTGGCTGTGTCAGCTGTGTACGACCTCTTTGTGTTCCAGAGACTCTGGTTTCGCCAGGCACTTCTGCTCTTGTTAGGAAAGGTAAATGAATGCATGCTGCTGGGGCCGGGGTGTGTGTTCACTGAATCTTGTCTTGGCATCTCTACATATTCGGTTTCCTCTTCCTTCCCTCAGAGGCAAACCTCAGCCAGCCAGCTGTTCATGGGTCCCGTATAATGTTGTTCTGTGTGGAAATTGTGTGTTTGCTTTTCATTAGGTGTGTAATTAGGAAAGTTGTTGCCCATGCGAGCCACACACACGGTGCATGAAAAGTAACCTATTCTCTTTTGTGATTTTGCAAACGGGAAGAACTCCAAGTTTTCCACTTCCTTGCAACACTACCAGCAACTTCAGCTTGCTGCAGTAAATAGATACATTGATGCAAGGAAAACTAGATTAGGATCTAAGCATCATTATGTGTGTGTACATGTGCATTCGTGGAAGCAGAAGTTGAGCGGAAAAAGCTATTTTCAGGGTGAGTTGTTTTTCATTTTAAGGTGACAAAAGGTATGTGCAGAAAAACAGCACATGTTGATGTGGTCCACTTGTCGAGTAAGCTGTCCAAACACACACACACACACTCACTCATAATGTGCATCCTCTGCAGGACTCTATTCTCCCCTCCCAGCTAAAGTTATTTGAGTAAGACAGCTTTGACGCAGTGCCTCATCTGATTATGGGAATCGGTGTTTGACTGGAAAGCCTTCCTGGACAGGCACTCCACATTTGATTAGAGAAATGGCTCCTTAGCCAAGATGATGGCCCTCGTAAAATATAAAACTAGCATAATAAAAAGTCCCCTTGGGTTTACTGAGCAAGGACAGTCTGGCTTTGTGTGTATGTGTGCGTGGGGATCTTTTTTATAGTGATTTCTCATTTTGGAAACAAGGATTGTGATGTGACTTTGTATGTATATGCACCCCTCCCTGTTACAAACGTGTGTATGGGACTCTTATTTATGCTGTCAGCATCCAAATGAAAATATTTTTGTTGTACCCGTGGGGCAGTTTCTTCAGTAGTTGTTGCTGGGAGAATGACAGCCTACAGCTGTTATTAAAGGGTTTGCAGTGAGCAGTCCAGAGAGATCAGAGAGGGGAGAAAAGGGGAGTTATGCTTTTTCTTTATGGTGCTGGGCAAGAATGACGTGTGTGTGTGTGTGTGTGTGTGTGTGTGTGTGTGTGTGTGTGTGTGTGTGTGTGTGTGTGTGTGTGTGTGTGTGCGCTTTAGGCCTTTGCAAATGCAAAACAACACCTGTCTTTCAAATTGTACTCGGTCATCTCAGTAGCTACATAGCATGAAAGCAAAAGTTACTCGTTTGTCGATGAATCTTTTAAAAATCATCATGAGTTTATCATCTTGTTTCATGTCTTTTCATATCAGGTTTGAATATTACAGAGAAATGTTTCTAAATAATAGATGGAAAAGAGAAAAACAGAATATATCTTATTCAGTGCTAGTTTTTGGTAAAGTCTCATTTGGGAATATAATGCATTACAAACCAGTTTTGCCTTTGGCTCAAAACAAAGAATGTAGAAACAGGGATTTACAAGATAGCACAAATTCATACATGCCAAATCCAGAATCAGAATCAGAATCAGTTTATTGGCCAGGTGTGTTGGACACACGAGGAATTTGACTCAGCTCTCAATGTGCAAACAGTAAACCAGCATAAGGCTGTGTAATATAACAAAATATCAGTATTAACATCAACAACCAGTGCAAACAATGCAGAAAACAAAGGAAAGTTCATTGAAATGAGATAATTAGGGATAAAGATAGAGTACTTAAGAACTAGAGACCTGTCCAAGTCTGTATAATCTGTACGAGGTATATTTACAGGTATTGCACTGAGGGTTATTGTCCAGTCATACTGTCGTGGGTCAAGTGTTCATGAAAGCGACAGCCTGGGGGAGTAAAACTGTCCCTGTGCCTGGTTGTCTTAGTGCACAGTGACCTGTAACGCCGTCCAGGGGGGAGGAGTTCAAACAGAAACAATTACATTCTCAAAACATTGTACGGCGCAAAAGGAAATAGGACTCACTTTCCACATCTTCCCAGTCAGGTAGAATATGAATTCTCAACTGTGCAAATAAAGATCTTTGGCTTCTGAATACGCGAGATGTAACATGTAATTCAAGGCCAAGCTTTTGCTTTGAAAGTTTGGAATCTTGGTTAGAATAAAAAAAAAATCTCTAGATTAAAATGAAATTTGGCTGCACAGTCTCAACAAAAATGGTGCCAAAAAACAGATTTAATGAAAAAGAATTGCAGTTTTCTTAAAAGGTATTTGTTGGGATTGTATTGTATTATTAGGTGTACTTGTTATTTTGACCATTCCTGTAAACAAATTAGGCAGAGACAAAGCCTTGGAACAGCCTGTAAGACATGAAGCACTATGTGTGTTAGTGAGAGAGAGCGACAACAACCACATATTTAATCACACACTCTATGGTTGTTGCATTATGGCCTGAAAGATTTCATTACCCTTGTCAGCAGCAGTTATGAAAAATCACATTTCCTTGTGTATTTATCACACAGTAGAGCAGGGATATCAGCAGCAGAGTCCACCTCTATGACCAGACACAATCGCTCATGATCCCAGTTTGTCAGGTCCTGGTGCCAGCTCCCCAGTGCCACCTGCCACTGCCAGCACATCTGGTTCATTTATCACCCTGGCAGTGCCCTTATCCATACCTTCCAATCATGGTGATCTTGGCAGTGAGCTTGTTATGGGCCAGGGTTGTCCACATGGGCAGTCGTTTCCTCCGTTATGAGCCAGACATCTCAGGGTGCATGGGAACAAAGGGGAGAAGGATATCGAGAGAGAAGACGAGAGGGAAAGTATGCTGTCACTTCCTTTCCTTTATCTGTGCTTGGTCCTTCTTATCCACTGTGCCCAAATAGCACTTTGAGAATGGAAGCTTTGGCGTCTCCTGTATCACATTATACCACTGTGGCACAATATGTTTGCCACTGAATTGGTTAATGGGTGGAGAGACGGTGTGTGACATTTTTCATTCCATCATTTTTTTCATTCCGTCCTATTTTTTCCCAAAATGAAACTGAAAAATGAAAAATCATTCAGTCACATTAGCTGACTGCTGCCTCACGGCAGCTACAAACGTAATGAAATGCTAATCAGCTCCAGTGTAGCAGAGGGGACAGATGTGCTTCCACCAGCACTCCATTTCTTCCTATTAACTCCCTAATCAGGGGGAGATGAGGTTTCAAATACGACAAGGCAGGACAGATGAACATGACAGATGAAGACAAAAGAAGGTGTGGTGTTAGCGCTGCAGTCTGCCGAGGGAAAAAAAAAAAGTCTTTCAGGTCAGGACCATAAGAACAAAAAGTCTTTGTTCTTTCCACTCTGTTTCTCATAAACAAGTTGGTGAATGAGAGCCAGGCTTTAGACAGGACCAGGGAAAATGTTTGCCTTTGTTAATATCAGACAAAGTCAAGAATCTCTCAGCTAAGCCTGAGGTAGACTGTGAAACTTTGGCAGGCAAGACTGATTTCACTGAAAGGTGTGGGACTGGAATTTAACATTTACTTGAATGAAAACAAAGATGTCAGTGATTCTGCCTTTCAGATAAAGTCCTGTATGAAAAGCTCTTTGTGAAAGGTGTGGCATTAAATATACGTACTTTCTCAAAACAATAATAATAAGGCTGGAAGACTTTTTCCTCCTTCTTTCCTCCTTTGTCCACACCTTTGGATTTTCTCACTTCAGTGTGTAAACCTGGAGCCAAATAAAAGATGACAGATAGCATTTTGCCAGAGGCACACGAACAGTGGAAGGATTTGATAGCATCTTTACCAGTTTGCATTTTAAGTGTCATAGACTCCTCCTCATTTGTCTCAATGAACACGCAGATAAATTCCAGTGTGACCAGCTGATGGTTTGATGAATGTTGTGCCAATTATCCTGTAGCAGAATTATTCAGCCGTGAAACGACACCCTTTTTTTCAGGTTCTGCTGCAAGCTCATAGTTACCTTGCATTCATACTGTTGGAGTGCATCTTCTATCTTTTTGGCACATTTAGACACTGAACCTCATGCGAGAATATTTTTTCTTATCTTAAACCTTTTTTCTGAGGTTCGCTTATACAAGTGTTCCACGTTTCATTCACACTTAAGTGCACTTGCTTGTTTCAACTGAAGCATTACCATGTGAATGAATTTGTGAAATTTGATTATGATGATGATGATCGTGTTCTGAAATATCCCTCGGGATCAGTGAAGTGTCTGTGTGTCATTAGTTTGACTACTGAATCATCTGTGTCAGTGAGGAAGCAGGTAGCAGGAATAAGAGAGAGCCTGTTAAAACAATATCATGGTGCATAAACACAATTCAGTCTGTGTTTTTGTGTTAGTTTATTGACATGTTGTTTTTCTCCTGGCATTTTTTTTTTTTTGTCTTCAGGTGCATCATTGCCATCCTCTGGGCTGGAGTAGGGCCCACACTGATTTGCATGTAGCATGGGAAAACCAAGACAATGGAAACACATACAGTACGTGGCTAGTGTAAAGCAACATATTAAACTGCCTATGCATTTTATAAGACAAAACAAGTGTAGGTTGTACCTCAAATCTCTTGTATGTGTAACTTTAATACTAATCGGCTTGTAGAAGTGATTAGACCCATTTGTGAGTGAATAAAAAATTGAGTCAGTTAAATTAAATCAGTGCGTGACTTCTCTTCAAGAGCATCAAGGAACCCTCCATTTTACTAAACCCCTTCTAATTCATACAACACTGCTCAAAACAGGAAGCTCTTTAAATGTCAAGTTAACACCGATGGCGCCCAAGCTTTGATCAGCCGTCCCTGTGAACGGCATGCAAAGCTTCAACCTGTGACCCGACTCATTACAGGTTCCTGTGCCAGCAGCAGCAGGGCCTTCATGGAGAGAACTACAGGGTAATTAGGTCACTCTATCAAAGTCAGCCCTCTCAATGCCAGCCGTGCTGCTGTCTGACAACGTGTGCCAAGTCAGCAGAATCCAGAAAACATTAGAAGCTGGAAAAGAACTGGATGCATGCCTCATTGTACCTTTCACCATAATTTAGCATGTCACTGGTAATGCATCAAATGTGAACACTGCTGGATGTGTGTTGTACAAACACATGGTGTTCAGATCTTTGAAAAGCCTTTTCATGCACATGTCAATGTGGAAGACTTGCCCCACACTGACTGATGTAGCGCCTAATGCAACTTTAACTCAAAACTTTTGTCCAAAATGATGTACCTATATATAGAATACCTGTAATAAATAGTCTTCTAAAGAACAGTTGATAGTTTTATTACATAGTTTGGTCTATATTTAACAGAACCTGTACAAGAAATGTTTGAGAATTATAATAATCTACGTTTTCTTTCTAAAAGTAGATTGCACAAGAAGAAAAGATTCAAATTTCTTAGAGAAGAGTCCAAAAAAAGGCTTTGCATGATCAGCCCAGTGTGTTGGAAAGAGTTATGAGCAGTTTAAATTGGATATGACGTTAACAAGAAAAGTCCGGAAGACCGCTCCCCTGCTGTCTTGCGTCAGTCCACAGCAGCTTTATTCAGTGCACATATGAAGTCGGCCATACACCACTGTTTCTTTAGACTTGTTTTAAACTGTCAGACAGACCACACACATCTGGGATTAATAAAAACGGGAGCTAATAATCAATGGAATGTGTAAAAAATGAAAGCTTTTGATCTTAAAACTGTTTATGTTATGTTTATGTGTAGAAACGGTAAGGGAATAAAAATCAGTAAAGGAAAAGCCACAGTACTTGATGCTGAATTTCCAAATGAGGATCCAAAGTGAAGGAGATCCACTAAGGATACACACAAATCTCATGAAGGCCAATCAATTATTGCTTGAAGCGATCCCCAGGAGTTTCAGTTACCAAGCAGTACAACAGAAAACAATGAATTAAAACAAGCAAAAAAAAAGGTCCTCCTTGATATTTTAAAAACAAGTCTGTTTGTGAGCTTTTTTAAAAATGTCTTGGAAAAATACAGATCCTGAGTTGACTTGGCCTGAAGTAAGGTCATATGCCTGTTTTTCCAGAAGTTGCAGGAATTTGTGGTTGAAAATGTTTCACACATGAAAGCTAGCCCAGCTAGCCCAAGACTGTTCATTTAAAGGGACATTTTGACATATAGAAAATAAAACTTTACACTGGTGTAGTTCACAACCTTAATTAGGTCTGCCCTGGTTTTGTGCATGCTAGTTTGAATGTGGCAGAACCATCATTAACGTGATTAGTTACTGTGTTTCTCCTGCCAGGAATCAAGGTATTTAGCCACTTTTCATACTCACAGAGCTTGTATGGTGAGAGAATTTTAGTTTTAAATCACTACAAAAGTACAAAACAGCTACTATTATGGGGTGTATTAGTCAGGAGAGTGTCCCTACAGTGTTACTTTTGCCATAGAATAACAATGGAAGCTGGAATTGTTGGAAAAATCAATAAATCAGCATCTAAGTAGAGAGGTTAAAGTACCTTTTTAGAGCAATTAGAGGGTGCATTTGAGAAGGGAATGATGCAATTGTTAAGAGTGAAATCTTGGGTTATTGAAGATCTATTTTCAATCGATCACAGAAGACCATTGAACGGAGAGGAAACGTCTTAGTATTGGTTACGACTTTTACAGCAAATCCTTTATTTCATGCCTTCTTTAGGATCCAACCTGCAATGTATTGCTTCTAAAAGCACTCCAATTACAACGCTTGTGTTAAGCTGGCCTGAAAACTGCAGTTGTTTACTGCTGATTTTGTGAATTTGTGGTTATACATCAATGAAAAGTGGGACCGGCCTCCGCTCTGCAGTTTGAGTTGTGTGCGTGATTGAGGGGAAAGTCAATTAAGGAACAATTTGGAAATAGACAAGGCAGTGAGTGGTAAAATGAAGCTCACCTAAATACCACAAATGACTCTTTTGCTGGAATTGGCTTATCTTCTGATTCCAAGAAAAATTGGATTTCTCAGACAGTTCCCTCCCTTGACAGGCGGTATGAGCTCATCCATCAACAAGAAGGATGCCTCGTTTTGTGTAAGAGGCACTGTCTCTTATCCAGCGTTCAAATCAATATCCAATTTTTTTTCCGATCCCAGTTCCTCAGTGCCTTTCAGACTTCTCCAGCATGTTGAACTCCTTGAACTGGCCCTTTTCTATCATACTACTGACAAGTTTTTTTTTTCTCTAACTAGCCGTCTCTATGCTTCCTGCCTCAGCTAACCTTTTAAAGGGAACATGCTTTTCCTTTTCAGATCTGGAGAATTCAGCAACTGAACTGGGGCCAGCAGGTCAGGCGAGTCAATGCTAAACCACTTATTCTAATCCCACCATGGGGTTGCTGAAAGTGCACACATGAGTTTACACAAACACTGTACTAGAGGGGATATTTCTCTGAAGTTTGTACTTTGCGCATTATGCAACTTTTAATAAAGAGTTTATCTGTTTATTGTGCCATTCATTTAAAGTGGATTATACAAAGAGCCTAAATTAGAGCTATAGTCAAGTAAACTCACTTGAGAGAAGTGAATGTAGGGCTACACTAGATCAACACGCTGAGTTATAGGGGCACTGAATTATATCAAAACCAGTGAGGAGAATACAGCGACTAGACCGCCAGTATGAAAACTTTGCCTGTCTTGTGCAGTAATCCTACACAGTATGAACATGCAGCATTTCTGTGATCATCACTCCTGATGTTGTGTCATATTTAGTCCATGAGGTAAAGTCTGTGGCGAACATGAGGAGCAAGCACTTTTTGGTCCTGTCATGATTCGGTTCTGTTTGCTTCCTGCCGTGCTTTTATTTTGACATTACTTCCCGTTTTTGTTTTACCACAGTTCACCACCTTTTACTTTAATCATCACTCACATTAGTTTCACCTGCTCCTCATTGATCACACCTGTTTTTCACCCCATTATAAGCAACTGATTTCAGAACATATCCTCAACATGTGGTATTGAAGACATTTGACATCAGTGTCTGACAGGAGACCAGACAAAAACTGTCTCGCGTCATCAATCTTGCGGCTACGCCTTCCTGCTTCTCTCCCTACTGACACTCACGGATGTAATTTAACAAGCCAGTGCTCAAACGTCAAGAGGTCAAGCATGTGATCTTACAACCTTATGTCTTAAGAACTGTCACTCACATTGCAGGTTTGCAACATCTATACAGCCCATTGTGAAGCAACTGAAATGAATTTTCCCTGGGACATGTCACACATAGTTCTTGACTGGCTTTAATTCTAAATAAAGCATTAGACATTTTCCTCAGATTTTTATAAAGAGTTTCTCAGTATAATGTCAGATAGTTGCTGTCTGAAAGTAAGATCAATTGCACAGCTGTCCAAACCCCAATGTATCTTTCAGCAGTGTGAATATACAGTATATTCACTATTTTCATGTAAGTGAATTTGTTTTTTCTGTCTGTGTGATTTTAAGTTTGAAGACATGTCAGTCTCACAGAGAAAAATGTTTAATTGTACATGAGTGCAGTTTAATTTCCAGGCAGGTATCAGACATCCCAGAGATTGTTTTATGTAGTTTCTTTTTCTATGCACTGTAGCGGTGAAATGATGAATCTGAGTTCTTTAAAGTTTTTCTTTATGTGTAAAGGTGGATTTATAAATGAGCTACAGTCAAAATGACTGAAATGTTGACTTGGGTATTCTCCTTTAGTATTTTTTTTTTCTTTTCTTTTGTTGTCGTTACAGAGAAAGAACATCAGTGTTTTGCTGAGTCTTACTGTGCTGGCTTCCTGGGGAGTGATTCTCCTGTCAGCTCGCCTCTATTGGATGGGCAATAAACCTCCCAACTTCTCCAATTCTGACAACCCTGCAGCTGATTCACCACATTTCCTCACTCGAATGCTGACTTTCTTTCACCTGCCCGCCGCCAACGCCTGGCTCCTGCTCTGCCCCGACAAGCTCAGTTTTGATTGGTCTATGGATGCTGTGCCCTTGGTCAGATCGCTGGCTGACTGGAGGAACCTTCACACTGTTGCCTTCTATTGTGGATTTATTCTCCTTGCTTTGTTTGGCCTTCGTGGCCCAACCTCCAAAGCCAAGGAGATCAATGGGAAAGCTCATGTCACTAATGGGAAATCAGTCACTAATGGGAATGGTTATCATGCACTTGACACAAACCTTAACACTGACCACAGTCTGCCCAAGACCATCAACGGGTCAGCTGGGCTTCATCACCTCCCTCCACAGACATCCCTGCCCCCCACAGAAAACCTAGTTCTATTTTCATTAGGTATCCTGTCATTGCCTTTCATCCCAGCCACCAACCTATTCTTTTATGTAGGTTTTGTAATTGCTGAGAGAGTACTATACATCCCCAGTATAGGCTTCTGTTTACTAGTTGCTGCTGGTGCAAGAACCTCATATGTCAGACTGAGAACTAGAGGCTGCAAGACATTACTGTTGTGTCTCTGCACTGGATTGGTGCTGCTGAATGGACTCAGAACTGTTCAAAGAAACCGTGACTGGAGCAATGAGGAGAATCTCTACAAGTCTGGGATCAATGTGAATCCTGCTAAAGGTAAGAGACAGGCACCAGTTACCACTAAGGTTGGGTCAATACTTGTTGAGTATGAAAGCTGAGAAATGAAAGCTGTCAAGCATCAAAAACTATTATTTTATAAACCTCAGACAGGATTTATTTTGACAAATTGACAACAGTAGCACTGTTTTTAACTGAATGCCAATGATGTGTAACTTTTCACTGACCTATGTATTCTGTAGCCTGGGGGAACTTGGGGAACGTACTGAAGAACCAGGGCAAGATGGTGGAGGCAGAGAAGGCTTACAGAAATGCTCTGCACTACCGAGGGAACATGGCGGACATGCTGTATAACTTGTGAGTGTTAATGATACCATGCCAACGCTTCCTGTTTGCAGAGTCTTGACATGGTCCAGTCCTGATTCCACCCATCCTTCACTTGATCTCAATGGCAGAACAAGAAAGGAAAAAAGAGAGAAGGAAGAGGGCGAAAGACATAAGCCCCTTTTCCACCGCCTGGTACCAGCTTAACTCGACTCAGTTCTACTCACCTTATTAGTTTTTCCATCAGTCAGATGTTGGGGATAGTACTTGGTACCTGATACTCTTTTTGGTATCACCTCCATTGGGGTTCCAAGCAAGCAGAGGCAATACCAAAGGTGATGTGTAAACACTGCAGACTAACGAATGGTCAGAGACATTCGTCATCATTACACGGCCTTCTTACCACTGATGAACCTGGATGTTTACATGTGATGACACCAGTGACTCATTCTTCATTCATAATAGCAGCTTCCCTCTTACAAGTGTTATAGAGGGTAAAGTTTATGATGACAGCGCCTCTGTTACTGTATGATATAACCTTTATATTATGTGAACCACTGCATCGTACACTTATGTTACTGAATGTGATAATATGAGTACAATGGCTATAGCTATGCCTGCTAGGTAGAGCTAGCTAGCTGGCACGTTAGCAGGTCATCACATCTCCGAAAACATCTGAGCAAATTTATAATAGATAGAATGGATAGACCACATATTCGAAAATTAGATGGTTATTTTCTCATCTGAAAAATGATCGACACTTAAAAAATTGCATAATAACAGTCCTAGGATGAAAATGATAATAGCTTTGAGCCTGTCCTGCCAACATGGACCAGTCGCTGTGGGGCGACTATCTGCAGTGGAAAACGAAGCACCTGGTACCAAAAGCGAGTTGAGCTGAGTAGAGTCGAGTCGAGTCGAGCCGAGCCGGTACCAAGGAGTGGAAAAGGGGGCTTCAGAATGAAAGACAGGACACTAAGCGAAGCATGACGCAAAAGTGTGACAAAGAGGAAATAACTTTCTGTGTCCCTGGTGCCTTTGTGATTGATTTGAATAGGTGTGTTGTTCAGAAGCTGTGGGAGAACACAAAGCCACTTCCAATCCTGCAACACAAGGTGTCAAAGGTGCCAAAACCTCATAGCAGACGCGTGTCTGTTGCTGTCATGCTGACGCTGTTTCCCCACTTCTCTATTCCCTCTCATGTTATGAGTATCAGGAAGCTGGCAGAGCAACACAGAGAGAAGGGCAAACTGAATGATGGTGTTTGTGCTTTCTTTAGAAGAGAGGTGCTTTTTGAACATGATGGATGGTTGGGTGTTCATACAGAAGCTGCCTCATTTTTTCTTATGTTTTTGTTTCTTAGTTTTCATCCAAAGTTCCATCTCAAAGCGTACTTTACTTTCACAGATTTAAAATAGTGAAACAAAAACCATCTTTATAAAAATGTCTCACATTTTTTGCATTTTTTTTTTTTTGTCTATCAGAGGTTTGCTGCTGCAGGAAAATGAGCATTTTTCTGATGCGCTGCATTATTACAAATTGGCCATTAGGAGTCGGCCAACGCTGGCATGTAAGTAAATTTAATAAGTGTCTCATTTTGTAGCTGATAAATGATGAGAGTTGTTATGATCAGGGGAACATAAGATGTTCTCATACTTACTCAGTTTTGGCTGAGTCTTTGTTTGGATTATGTGGACGTGAGCTAAAGATTTGTTATTGAATCACCATCATGCTCCAATTTGAATGCTGAATTAGATGTTCTTTTGCCATGTATTCACTTGGAAGGCCATATTCAGGCCATTTAAGTTTGACGGGGAAATGATGAGATTCAATCTCACACTTGAGCGCTCGCATGTGAGATGAGGGTCTGTCTTTTGTTGTGGCAAGGACAGGTTTGTGAGAGAAGACAGGCTTAATTTTATTTTTGCCAACATATTTCTGTTTCTATATCTTTTTTATGGTAAATTTGATCTCTGTCCTGTCTCCTTTTAGCTGTATTATTTTTCCCCATCAGTCTTTGTAGGTCCTCTACATCTCCTCCACTTTTAAAAACTCAATCCAAATGTTTTGACTATGTTTATGTACTGGTATATTGATTCATATCAAAACATGTTGGAGTTGTGAATGATTCAGCAGATTTGTGTTTCTCACTTGACCATAAATCATTTAACAGCTACTTGTGTGAACAAACCTTTAACAGCCTCAGGAAAATACAGTATTAGTAAAAGTTGGTTCAAGAATGTGTGAGTCATAATTTTAATAATGCATTTTGAATCTCATTTGCATTTGGGCTGCAGATTGCTCCTTTAATTCAGTCATCTTCTCTGAAAATTTGTACCTATCATGCTTTAAATCCCCTCTTCCTCTCCCCTCCTTCCCACAGCGGCCTACTTGAACACAGGAATCATCCTAATGAACCAGGGCAGCCTGGAAGAGGCCAAACGCACCTTCCTTACTTGTGCTGACATTCCTGATGAGAACTTGAAGGACCCCCATGCCCACAAGAGCTCTGTCACCAGCTGCCTCTACAACCTGGGAAAACTGCTTCATGAGCAGGGCCAGCAGGAGGTTAGTGGGTCTCGTTCGTGCTGAAAGAACCAAGGGGAATATTTGAGGAGCTGAAATGAAAGTGTTTCTATTGTCATATGCTTTGTGCTCCTACCACTCCACTTTTTAAATGTGAATAATTGGATTGGGACCAAAATGTGTGTGTTGCTTTTCATAGTGACTTTGATTTTATGACCACTTATACTAAATATAAGCTCAAGTGTTAGAACTGAAAGGCAGCTGTGTAAGTGTAGTGTAGATTGTACCTCACCAGTAACAAAGCCTGCATTCTGCAGATGCATAACAAAAACTGGACTTGCTAAGTTTACTTTTCTCCTCCACCACAGGAGGCCCTGTCTATGTATAAGGAAGCAGTGCAGAGAATGCCCAGACAGTTTGCACCACACAGCCTTTTCAACATGATGGGTAAGTTACTGTTGGAGCCTGCTTCACTCCGCACCATCCACAATTGCAGGATTTTATTTTAAATTTCCATATTTTATCTGAGCTTTGAATTGAACCAAAAAACTGACATTAACTCATTGCTGAACAAAACCAGGAGATGACTTGAACCACCTGTTGGATTCTAACAGTGAAGCTCATAAATGTCTGCACAGTCTTGGTGTCCTCTTGTAGAGAACTGAAGCTAATCCCTGTAATAAATCTCATCTTTCTCGTTGTTTTTGTAACACTAATTATGTACATTTTTGGAAGCTCGTCCTGGTGGTTTAGTTGAAATTGCAGGAAGATGTCAGCATGAATTACTTGCACAGTCTGAATAGGAATAGGAAGTGTGTTTTATCAGGTGGAGGGAGGGGGTTAATGGAGGGAAGTGTTTGCATTAGTGTGAAGTCCAGGGCATGCTTTGTTACAACTGATGTCATTTGACCCCAACAGCCAACTGCAAGTTATCTGATCAAACAAAGTCCCATGCAAGAAATGTTGACCCTGGATAAGAAGCGGAGGTCAAGGACAGTTTATCTGTCCTCCACCTGCACCAAAAAGATTAGAACATTTTTAGTTTTTTGAGAAGCAGTGTTAATAGCAATTTTTCATATTTCTAAATAAAAAGAAATAAATTAGATCCTAGTTGGGAATGATTGTGTTGTATTGAAAGTAATTCATGTAATTTTCAGCTGCTGGTATTTCATCTACTGTGTTCTAGTGTTCTGTGTGTGTGTTTAATCCTGATTATCCTAAAAAACTCAGCTTTGCTCCTGATCTGTTCCAGGGGAGGCCTACATGAAGCTGGACAGGCTGGAGGAAGCAGGCCACTGGTACAGAGAGTCCCTGAGGGCCAAGCCAGACCATATCCCTGCTCACCTTACATATGGCAAACTCTTATCCATCATTGTAAGTCCAGTTACACACACTCACACAGTTGTTTCCATCACTTCAGGGGACATTACATTGACTAATATTAATTGCCTGGAGACACATACCGTAACCTTCACTCTAAAAGGTGATGACTAATGTTTTATAGACTTGCTTTTTGTCCCCATAAAAAAGTCAAGTACCCATAATGTGAGTCAGTGAACAGATTTGTCACCACAACATGAGTAATAAAAGCCCACACAAATGCACACATTCGCACAAGTACCCAATTAAGAGACAAGACAAAGGATTATTGGAGTAATTATTGTAGTGACTAATTACCTGGCAAAGTAGAGTGATAAATGATGCATATTCAGTGACTTGTGGGACATCTGAGCAAGATGAACCCATCCTGCTGATCTCCCTGTAGAACCTAAGTAATAACTGTAATGAGGTGTGGGCTTTCCGATTCTGAAAGGTGTGTACTGGGATGAAAAGAGGACATACACATATGAGGACACATATGGGGGGGGGGGTCATCACAGGAACCTACCAAAATGTGACGAACCATGTAATGCTTGCCACACATTCTGTATTTGTCACATTTCTGCAAGTTTGTGTTTGTTCAACAGCTGTTTGATAAACTGCTCACCCAGTCTTAATTAAGGGCGGACTTTCATGTCCTCTGCTGTCCCTCTGTTCATCTGTGTGAGAGAGAAAACAGGAGCATAGCCCTTCCCTCCTCTGAACACAGACTTACACAGTGGAAAAAACAAAGCAGGACAGTTTGCGTCAACTCGTGAGGTTATACTGGGCGACGGTTAAAAGAAGCACGGGGTGTACCGCTTGGCAGTGGAAACACAGCTACACTGTGAAAGAGGAAATTAAGACACAAATGTTGCAATAAATACTTTTTTGGGTGACATTGGATTGACCCCAATCTAGGACTGATGCCAAATAACTTAAAAATCAGCGCTGTATGAATTCATGTCTGAAGGTCACAGACATGGGAAGTTTGTCTGGCTATCCCTCTGTGATTGGGTGAGTTCCAGACTATCTGTGTGTGTTTTTCTGTCCCTTGCTGTGTGTATCTGTATGTAGACGACATCAAGGGCACACAAGTTTGCCCAAACATCACTTTGCACTTCTAGTTATTTTCCACTGAATAATTCATAATTCCTGTCCTCCTACCACCTCTCCTGCTCCAGAAAAACAAAAACACATTTATGTGACAACAGAGCTGGGTCAAGTTTAGATATGATAGTAGGGTATGTGCCCTCTTGACCTCTCTAGAGATGTTTGACCTCTTCTCTTCCACGGCCTCGGGTACTGAGTGAAGACACAACCAATCTGCAGTGCCTTTCTCTCACACACTCCTACACACTTGCAGCTGTAACCCTCGTGGCCTTAAACCTTAGTTCTGATCATTTCCTCTCTTTGTTGAAAGATGTGAAGATACACATAGCACTCACTCATACACACACCTAAAGCACAGGTTCAGATTAGAGTCGCTGGACTTTTGCTGTGCTCCTTAAGGCTCGGGGCTCCAGATCCATGCAGGGCCCTGATTCACAGAGAGGCCCCCTCCACTGCTACAGGGCTTGAGAAACAGGAGATTGGATGGACCCTGGACAATGAGCCAGTGGACAAGCTTATAATGCAATTATTCAGCTTCCTTATCGAATCAGTCCATCAGCCGTATTTTTGGCCATCCTGCTGGAGTCAATTGACAGTACAGATATGGACAGGAAAGGTCAAACTGAAGTCTTACACTGTGGTTCACCCCAACATATGCGGCAGTGTGGTTTTTCTCTGTAAAAAAAAAATAAAGCTGGAACCTGATAGTCTTGTACCTCTCCACAACTCTCAGCCTCTAACAAGTGGACGTACTAAAGCCACTAATTTGCCTTATTCTTCCTAAGGTCAAAGTGTTTACAAAGACATCTAGTTCAACATTAGAGCCCTGCTGTCTGTCAGAAAGGTGTGTTGTGCAGTAGTGAAAGTTGTGGTCACCTACACTAAGCAGACTTATTAGTTTAATCTCAGCTGATTATACATTTAGTACTAATGCTAACCACTGCCTCTCACTGTGGAAGACTGTTCAATAATGCAAAACCGAAAGGGTTTACAAAGGGTAAAATGTTATGGTGTGTTTCTATATAAAAAACACACAGGACATTTGTTAAGAAAGGGCATCACAACTCGTCTTTACAACTTTGACCCGAAATGTTCCATGAATCTGATGATGAGTCACACCAAATGGACTGAACAACTCTACCTGTTGTGATGAATTGATGGGGAAAATGTTTAATTGAATGCAAAATGAAATATGCCAAATAAAATGTGAAATAAGCCATCTAGGCCCAATATTCAATCACTCACTTAGAGCGATTGCAGGTATGGGAAAAAGCTAATGACTCAAGCCCAATATGCCCAGTCCGCTCTTCTCTGGCTGCATGGAAAGTCCACTGGCAATATGGAAGCAATCAGTGCTGAAGCATGAAACAAAAATAGTGGAGAATTTGAGCCTCATGCACAGAAGTAATATCTTGCTGAGGGTGGTTGCAGGCACACACAGATTAGGCACAGGAGGTAGGTAGGTGCTGTAAAAAAATGCTGAAACTTAACAGCAGGGTTACTGTGCCTCAACTGATGCAGGTCACTGCACTGAAACATCAGAGCAGATAGAATAGACCTTTGTAGACAGGTTTATGTGTACACATTTGTTTCACTGTTGTGTCCTAATATAATAATATGTGCTATTTGTTTCTACTGTGTACAGTGAGTGAATAGTTAAAAATGTCATCTTGCACCATGATTCTGACTGACTATTATGTTATCCATTCATTCAAGCTGAAATGAGATGATAGCGCCGTCATTCGGCTTGTACCCCATTCAGATATCGGAATGTAGTTATTAAATTTAAATTACACTGGTCATTTTATTATAATGGTCATATTAGTTCATAATCACATTTCATTCTGCTCCTAGTTTGAGGATAATAAATACACGCTTCAAGCCTTAGCTGGGTTCAGAATTATTATTATTTCTATTTTATTTATTTGTTTATTTATTTTTTTTGTACTTACAGTGATGACCAGTCAGCCACTGGGGAAAAAAAAGAAACATTTCCACAAAACAAAAATTAAAGTTAAATATCAGGTAATTGATGATTTTTGTTCTTTTCCTTTTAGGGGCAGAAGACAGAAGCAGAGAAATACTACCTGAGAGCTATTCAACTAGACCCAACGAAAGGAAACTGCTACATGCACTATGGTATGAAAAGATATCAAAACATTCATTTATAGACATTGTAAACTTTTTAACCAAGCCTGTTTCAAAACTGGCATTAGAATAATAAAAGTGCAGATGTCTCTACCTCAAAAAATGTGTCTCTGTGGTTGACAGAGCAAAGGAAATGTCATTGGAAGTAATTTTCTGCCAACTAAAGTGTGCCTGACTGCCTATAATCCAAACCTCTGCTGTGCAGCTCAAGTAGGCTTTATGGTAATGGTCAGGCTTTGCTACAGTCAGCTCTACTAAGGATAGGAGTCATTAGACTCTTTAGACCTAAATTTTGTACACCCGGAGTCAGTAACTATACCAAATGCTGTTACAGTTTATGTTGTAACGCACCTTGACCTTAAATCCAAGCTCGTGCTTATGAACCATATAAGAACTTTGGAAAGAATCGAATTATCCGGAGGTGTCCAATCCATTACTTTATTTAACTGTGATAAAGCACTGTCATTTAATTTTCTGTTGGTAACAGTGCTGTGAGTGGGGGAGCAGTTTGAGGTTTGGCAGATGGTACAAACAGCCATGGATGCTATGTTTATCTGAGAAAAAGGAGCCAGGATCAGAGTACACTGTTTACCATTCATAACACAGAATTGTTGCCCTGTTAATACAGCATGTCACATCAGCTCCTTAGTGTTCCATATCTCCAGGATATTCATAGGAAATGAAAATTTACCCTGTCTCGCTGAAAGCACCATTGTGCTTTGCCCCTTTTTCCTCTTCCTTATCTTTCTCCATTCCTCCTGCTGCTCTCGTGCTAGATACAGTATCTTTAGGTTTGAGTTTAGTTTGGTCCCAGCCAGGGGGCTCATTACTGTCTTTGGACCAAGTTCTTTCCTATTCTTACAGTGTTTCTTCTCTCTGCCCATCTGACTCTTTTCTTATTTCAATGTTATCTTATAGCCTCTTGCTATAGGTGATGTTTATTTGAGCTGCCCCCTCCTTTTATCACAGATCTGGCTGCTTTAGCCATCCTGGGTTCAGTGGATGAGCTCCAGGTGTGAGTGTGTAAGGAGTGATGATTTCTATCCACATTACAAAACAATGGGTGCACACACAGACACACACATGAGAGTGCGGGAAAGGGAGGACACAGAGGGTAATAGCTAAGACAAGGCCGCCTTTGCTGCCCTTGTACACTGTAACACATTTTAATGCAAACTGTCCCTCTTATCACCCAGTTCCACATTGTTTCCTTTGGTTTCTGATAGGTTGGTTTTGGAAGCTACATTCAGGCAAAAGCTTTCAGTACAGTAAAAGTAAATGGACACATCAGTGGAGGTTCCCTGCATTCAATTCTTTCTACATTCAGTAACATCTGTGGCTGGGCACGGCTATTATTTTATAGCCGCTGAGGTAGGCAGTTGAGGGTGCCACACCAGGTGGCCACGGTCCCACAGGAAACCACATCAAATGCCTCCGTCTCATCTGTGTTTTCAAACGGCACTGAGCAAAACAGCAATCCTTTGCTCTTTTGCTGCCTCGCATCGTCCTCACTTTGTCTGCCTTCTTGTTATATCTTTGGCACTCAACTCTTTCACTGCCTCCACTCATCTTCTGATTTCTCTACCACTTTCTGTCTTTGCTTCTCAACAAGCTTTCTCCATCTTTTTTTGTCCCCACAAGATCATTTCCGTTTGCCATAACACCATACTAAACTATGCAGTAGTTATTGAGGTATTTCACTGGTGGCACTACAGGATAGCTAACATCATTAGAGTTTATCTTCCTGGCACCCTAGATGCCTATGTCAAATTTCCTGGCAATCCGTCTAACAATTATTGATACTTTGCTTAAAAAAAAAAAACAAGATTGTCTTGGGGGCCCAAGAAGAAATGTCAGTGATCACAAAAGTCAACAGAATTCATCCTCTGGGGACTGTCAGTATATGTACAAAGTTTCACCTTACTCTGTCTTGTAGTTTTTGAGATAATTTAGCCTGGAACAAGGTGGTGAACAAAGTGACCAACGAGCAGACTGACATTGTCGTCCCAGAAGGACTTGTATAACTGACAGGAAATAAGCATGTCCTCTATATTCCCCTCTTTTCAGGTCAGTTTCTGCTGGAGCAATCTCGTCTTGGCGAGGCTGCAAAGATGGCGGAGAAAGCTGCGGAGCTGGACAGTTCAGAGTTTGATGTGGTCTTCAGTGCTGCTCACATGCTCAGGTTGGCTGCACTGCTCCTGTTTTTCCCTACTTGTACAAGAATACAGAGGTTTTTGGAATCCAGAGTTTACTGCTATGTGCTGCTTCATCATTTGTGGATTTATTCTTTACTCCTGCCATTTAACAACCATCTCTGAAATATAAATTGTGCCAATGTTATAGCACAGTAAAAGTCCTCTGTGTGGAAATATCTGCCTTAAAAACTATAATGAATGGCATGCATTAACATCAGAAAAGTTTCAGTCTGTCATCATGATGTTTCAGTCCTCACCTTGTAAAGAAGCCACTGGAGATTTTTCCCATAAAGCTTGGGGCAGGCACGTGCACACGCAGCATATAAGTCTGAAAACATGTCAAAAGGGACTGAAAATGTCCTCTACTCCCAGGGTCTGACAGGGATGTTGGAGTGGCCTGCCTTAAATCCATTTTGCTCTACATATCTGGAAAAGTCATTGCTGCCTTCCAGCGCCACCATAAAAGCAATACCACAGAGGATTTGTTAAAAGTTAAAAGTCTCAGGGTTTCGCTTAGGTTTTCTTTGAAACTGTAAATCTAAATGGCAGATTGTTCTGGTCTGACTGGTGATTTACAGCCGCCATATATCCAAACAGATTAGGATAAGGGTTTAATGAATGTGACACACACTTGCCGTTAGCTGGAGTTAAAGCTAAAGCTTCGCTGCTGATAATAAAGGATCAGCTAGAAAACCTGGCTGCCGCATCCCTGTAAGGACATAATAGCTTAGTCAGAGACCACTGATAACATACAAATAAATTATGATATACAATTGTACAAGAGGAATGAATGCAGTTATTATCAGTCATTTGTATTAGCACAGTATAAATTGAGTTTTTATGTGTTTCTTACTCTCACTGTCTTGCCTCTGTTCTCCCTCCTCTTCAGACAGGCCAGTCTAAACGAGGCAGCAGAGAGGCTGTATGAACACGCAGCCAGCCTCAGACCAGAAGTAAGTACCCGGCCTGGTGGGGCTGTTCGCACTGTAAATGCGGTTAACAGGATATTATATATTCCCTGCCATTCTGACCTCACATTATAGTTCTGTTGTTTCTGGCAAACAGCGATACAGCTAAATACAACATGGAAAGTGTGTAAACTTTGAACTGGAGCCTCGATGTGCTTACACAAATACAACAATCACGAAAAGAAACATTCAGTGGTTACTGTTGTCTGAGGTCGAGACTAAATTACATAATCATCACAGTATAACAGTTTATAACAAACCCTCGATGTCACTACATGTGGTTGCAGAAGCTGAGGGGTATCATATCCTGTTGCTGCCCTTTATAACTCAGTCACTTCAAAGGCAACGTGTGCATGGACCCGTCTGGAAGAGGTCATTTCTTTGACAAGACCTACAAGGAGCTTCCTGCAGTAATTTGTCATTTCTCAGTCTGCTTAGTGACAGTGTGCTCTGTGACTTGAGTCAAGAGGGGGTCAGACGTCCCTCTCATGCCTTAACTGGAGTAACTGTCCTGTGTAGCAGTGTTTCCCAGCCTCACATACCTGCACTGCCCTGAACGGACAACAAAGATCTTCTACCCCACAGACATACGTATATCCACCACAAACCTAAATTCTTTAGTTCTTCAGTAAAATGCTGCTTAGCCACCATGTGAATGTTGCTCTCATTTGCATAAAGTTGCTTTTTATTTTACTTTCAGTCCCTCCTCCTTGGTTGCGTCACGGGCCTGGATTCACTTGTGTCCCATAGAAAACGAACACTCAGTGTTCACGGGCCTGGCTGCGTGTCTTGCTTGGAATACCAAAGTGATTCACTCGTGTCCCATAGAAAACGAACACTCAGTGGGTCTTCACTGTCAGATGAACTCACCTAGCCTTTAATAATAAAAACAATGTTTAGGTTGGTTTGGCCAAATGATTTGTCTGCTACTACTTGAAGTAGCGAAACCTTGACATTTTATCAATTTATCCATAACTTTTAGCCTCATTTCAACTATCTAACTTTTTCAGTTGTAATACATTCTATTTATTTTCTTTTAACCATTGATTTCAACTATTTCTTTGTTACTTTTAGCTAAGTAATTTAACTCGTTTTGGTAAGGGTGTTATTTCAGCCATTTACTTTAAATTAACTGTACTGATACATGTAACTTCTCTGCTCATGCACTCTAAACAGAAACTAGCTTTCTTTACTTTTTTAAATTACTTATGTTTACCTTATAGTTTTTAGCTAACTATTTCAACAGTTTGTCTTTGATTCTTATGTAACTATTTCAACTGTGTATTCATACTTTTAATTGCCTCTTATTAATTATGCATTCGTTCTAGCTCATTTTAAGACCTCTCTGCTGGCTTGCTAACTAGTTTATATAAGCTCTCAGTTTCAACACATAGTGTTCAGGTGTTTATTCCAATTATCTATTTTCAACCCAGGTTTTACACAGCGCCCCTGGCAACTGCCAAAGTATCCCGTGGGGAATAAGTACTGGGTGGGAAACACTGCTTTATTGCATCTCCCCTTTTGGTCTGCCTGTTTGTTTATAACCTGTTTAAGCCTTAAAAGCTGAGTAAAACCATAAAAGAGAAGAATGTTGGTTGCCCATTTGATTTAGAAAGCCATGTGTTTATATTTTATTCAGTAAAAAATAAGCTACCTCAAAGTCAAAGATGTAATACTTCACAGTTTGGAAGCCTTCATGTACACATTCAAATGAAGGCTTCTCTTGTCATTTGTCATGACTAAAGCGCCTCTTGTCTTTGACATTTCCACCGCACATGTCTGCTTAGTGAATGAGAGTCTACCAAATATCAACTTAATTCAATAGCTTTCAGGTCATGAAAGATTCAGTGGTGGCTCTACGTGCCAGGAAAGCAAATGTGACTCCAGAGAAAGGTGAACCAGAGTTTTTCATTTTAAGCACAAAGGCTGAAATGCTTTATTTTCACCACTCAGAGGTTCATCTCAAAATACAGTGTAGTGAGCAGAACTACCTATGTTTACTGGAAATTGGCTTAGTAGCCTGTCTCAGTTGTTCAAAGTTCATCAAAAAAATGCTAAACCAGTTTTTGAAGCAGTTTGAAATGTAACTGCTTCTTCATTTGTTGCACTAAGTTACACCCACTGCACTGCAGCTCCTCTCACTGTAAAACTGCATTAATTTGTTCATTTTCCACTATCTTCCAGGCCACTGCTTTAAATATTCCAGCTGTATAAGAATTCATGAGTGACATCAGCTACAGTCTCCTGCTTGAAAAGTGGAATGTAAACAAGTGAAATATCAGTGTTAAGAAGAGAAGAATAATTGTTTGTGGACAGAAACTCTATCAGCCAGTTGCCAAGTTACAAAACAAATGTCAAGCTGTAAGGACACAGACCTGGGAGCAAAGCCAGCTCTAAAGGACGGGGTGCAGCCGACTTCTAGGATGAGATTTGGGTGTGTTTTTTAGCTGTGGCTTGCTGAGAGTCATGTCCTTGACAGGAAGCTTGTAGATTTCCATGACTGGTATTCAGGGCGCGTTAGCTTCACTTTGCAGCTTCAAAGATGGTATTTTATTAAATATGACTTCAGAAACACAACTCTAATTGGGTTTGCTCCTTCATATTACAAAATACTTAACACTCACCCACACACACTGTGCAGCTACCTCTTTGTTCACTGCAACACTGTCGAAGAATAGTTTTGTCTTTGGCCACCCCTGTTACTGTACTGTGAGACTACATTATGGCAAAAATGTATGCATATTTGATTTTTTAGACTTAAGCAAATTTCAAATGGGTCCTTGCCTTAATTTCTGCATAATGTGTGTGTGGTCCACACTGAAAAGGACAAGTCTAAAAGAGTTTGTCCCAATAGATACATTTTCGGTCTCTAGGATTGTGGCATTATGCACCACCCTGGCGCTCTTTCCTCACTGTCTTTGCCCTCTCTTAGTACCCTGCTGCTCTGATGAACCTCGGTGCCATCCTCCATCTGAATGGGAAGCTTCCCGAAGCAGAGGCCAACTACCTGCGCGCGCTCCAGCTCAAACCTGACGATGTCATTACCCAGTCCAACCTGCGCAAGCTGTGGAACATCATGGAGAGGCAGGGACTCAGGACTAAACATGGGCTCGGGATACAGAAGACTGATCTTTGAACAGAGAGCGTCGCTGCACTGCTCCCTCAAAGATGATGTACTGTCCTCCAGAGAATAAAGCAGGACAGGATATGGAAGAGGTGGAGGCTCAAAGCTCTCTGTCCAAATCTGAGTTGTTGCCTGTGTTGTTTATGGAGCACAGTTTGAAGCCTGGCATGTTTGGGATTCAAAAAGTCACCGCCAGTGCTGTATGGTGACGAAAAACTACTAAAACTGTTACCTTATATAAGAATTTATAATGTGATACTCAATTGTTAAATTATACAAGGCAAAATACATAGGTAAATAATTGCAAGGTTTTAAAAAAGCATCTTGAGAACAAAGGTCTCCAATATCAGCTGATAAGTTTAATTCAAAACCTGGGAATGTTTTAGAGCACTTAACTGAACGAGGATATTTCAAATGTATTTAAATAATTTCTTTAGAACGGGTTGCCAACACTAATGAGTGAGGGATGGTTTTGCTGTCGTTCATGAAGCCAGCTGGTTTGTCTTAAAGAGGAGCTCCACTGATTTTACCTGCCAAAGTCTGTTTACAAAAAGTGTTTGTGGCTACGGAGAGAGGTCCATGATAAACGGCCTCAAGTGATGTCACTTCAGTCAGAGTTTGCTGGGGTTGAAGAATACAAGTAAAAAAAAATAAAAAATTAAATGCAGTTACAAAGAAGTAAACATAATAGGTCCCTGTAGACTGCTTTTCATCGCTGTCAGCTTGAGGGTCCAGACACTATTAGCATGACCACATGAAACAGTTGCATTATGGTTTTGACAAGAAAGAGAAGAAGGAATTATTTTGCTAAGCTCTCCAAAAGAGCTGTAGGACTGTAGCGCTAAGTTGGTGGATTACTCTCAAAAAATCCAATCCCTGATCATTTCCTCTCAGGGTGATCTAGCCTTGGACTTCTACTAAAAGCATTTAAAGCATGCCAGTGCATAGATGTTCTTCAGGTACTACCCTCTAATACAGTGCTGTACAGTACCATGCTCCAGCTAAGTAAAAGAACAGGTGAAAGCATAACGCATAGCCAGTCATATTCTGTCATCCAAGTCACTTAAGACTGCTTGCACCATAAATGCTCGTGGCTGTAGACATGGGAATGAAGGATGAGAAGAATCATCAGCGGTGCCAAAGCATGTACTGAGTCCACGCCTCATGCCAGACAAGAACTGTTGTCACATATGTGTTGTGTTCCTTGTGACAAGTGAAGATGTTTCATTTCATGTGATCAAATGATCAGTTAATTTATTAATGTGTTACTTTATGTGAAAATGCTGACACTGTGCCATTTCACTGTCATTAGCCCACCCTCCCATTTCCTTACATAGATAGGCAACATGGCAGTTACATTACAGTGTTTTCTACATGTATTTTTCTCTCTGCTCAGGGATATCAGGTTGTGATTCCTGTCACAGAATGGATTTGTGACACAGAGAGCATGATTTTAGATGTTTTTGATGATTTGTGATTTCTGGTTAAACTATAGAAAATGTGTAGCTGAAAATGTGTTATGTTTTGTAAAGAAAAGTAAACCTTTTTCCATAATAAAAACATGGTTTTGCGCACAGCAGAGTGATGTTATATAACATAATTCAGTCAGTCAACCTACATGGATCAGATGTATATTTATGACAATACTGTGTATGTACAGAGTGGGACTGACAGTAATACCAGTAATACTGGGTCCAAGTTTTGGACCTGATTTTGTTCCACGTCTTCATTAATACTCTGATTTTCATGCAGGTTGTGCAGTCAGACCTAATGAGTTCATGTGGACCACCTTGTGGTTCTGGCTTTTCCTGCCCTGATTTGTTCTTTGCCAGTAGCCTGATAGTTTATGTCTACAGATTAATAGGGTCTGAAAGTTGGGCTGAGGGTTAATTTTTATTCACGTTCTTTCATACACACATGGAAGAACTCAATCTTCTTGGCACCTGTAGAGCGTTTAGTTGCTTTGTTGGTGTGCAGACAGTTTTTTCTAGGAAAAGACTTTGTGCATTTACCACAGTGCTCTGGATATACAGCATAGTGAAGCGTCATGTGAGTGTAGCAGCCATCTAGTTGTCATCCTGAACTAGTTTGCTCTGCTCTGTTAAATTCAAATTTTCAGATATATTTTTCAGTGTTTCAAATGCTGAAATTGTTGAGTAATTTAAAAAAAAAAAAAAATTCTCCCCAGATCTGTTACCTAGTCTTGGTTTCACTGCTTTTAGTAAATAACAGGGACACAGTCTCTCCATCTCTCTCTCCACTAACAGATCCACAAATTAGACTTTCATAAACTCAATACATTGACATCTGATGAAGCTGACATCAGAGTTTCTTGTCACCTGCCAGACATGGTAGGCACCAGGGTATAAATATTTAAGCAGGTATTAAACTTGACTCACTTATTCACTCACCATAACTCATAGCCCCAGTTTTAAAAAAAGTATGCAGTGGAACTTATTATGCATTCACATACTTTGTTATTTAATAATAAAATCAAAAATGTATTTGTTATGCACAGAAAGAAGCACCATCTGCTAGAGTCATCCCTGAATCTGTCCATCTTTCCCACAGGACTACTTAACCAAAGACTTTATTTATTGTAATTATTAACTGCTTTAGGTTGTTGTCTCTTGTGCATTAAATTTGGTAAAACATCAAAATTACTCAAATTTCCATCAAGAAGAAGATGTAACCTTTCCTCACATTTTGTACATCAGACAGAATATTTGACTGTACTAAGGCTCCTCAATCCCAAATTACTTCCCCACACCCGCACAGACAGACACATTACTTGCTCAATATTGTAAACTTCAGTGCATGTTATGTTTACAGTGGCTGTGGCTGTTTTGTAAATGGAGCTGTTTTCCAGAGCCAGGCCATCATTTCTCAGTAAACTCTTTGAGATGATTTAATTCAATTATAACAAATTCAGAAAAACTATGTGTAACATTGCAGCAACAAATCCTACAGCTACAGTTTTACAACTATCAGCTGTCCCTGTAGTGAGAAAGCTCATTAGACTTGTACATGCTGTACTCTAAGTGACCTCTGTAGAGGAAGGAAACAGGGAGCTTCTATATTTGGACACCAAACACCATCTAGTCTTTGGATTTCTCAGGTTGCTCTAGCCCGATAACACTTCTTCTTCCTGCCTGTGCTGCCAAGGCCCAAATAATCTGTAGCTCCTCTATTCCAGCAACTAGTGGAAAGCATCGCTTAGCACAGGGAAATCTTGGGAAATGTCATGTGTCATGTGACCGTGCTTGGTTTTCAGCTTAGTTTTCACTTCTTTCATCTTTTCACATTCACTCACACTGACATAAAAAAATAGGACTCTTCTTTTCTAATTACAGCCGAGTAACACTTCCCTTCTCCTTTCTTTGAGGGAAGACAATCTGAGCTTGTTACTATACTTTACACTAATTTGCTGCCTTTGTTGTGGAGAAGACAAAATTATTCACTCTGTACCAGAGTGTGCGTTTGTGCCATACCCAAATGCCAGATGGAGAATGAAATTGTAGTTAGTGAAAGCAGATTTCAAATGAGTGAACAAAAACGTTTTGTTCAAAAGCATGCCATTACAGGTCTAATTAAAATACATTTAAAATTAATTCTGTAATGTTGCATTGATAGTCTACTAGCTGTTCACCTGTGAGCCAATTGATTTTCACGATAAACTTTCAACACCTGATGATCGGTAGTACACAAGACTAACCAGACAGTTTGTGGAACCTGTGTGACTCCTACAGACTACTGAGAGCTGCTGCCTCCCTGCTTCCCGCAGCAGACTCCACTTAGAAACACTACAGACTCCAAGTACACATTATGACCTTAGAGTGGAAGAGCCTGAACTAACAGTGTTTGGGCAATGGATCAAACAGAAGTTGGGGTCGCTACCCCGCTCCAGACTCGTGATAAAAGCATATTCCCCAGTGTGAAGTTTGCTGCTTGTTGTGATTGCATTGCCTGCTCTCAGCAGTTGACGGGATATAAAATCCAGCTGCAGAGCAACTATGCTCACAAGAAAACCAAACAGCCACTCGTTGCTGACGCCTGAAACGGAAATTACAGACACTTTGGATTCATAGAGAACTGAATCATCCAAGGCCAAGCCACACCATCTGGTGTTCTGTCAAATTGTGGTATGGTGTGGTGATATGCTACCTTAGTAGTCGAGTCTATGGATAATCATAATAATCACCTTTATTTGGCCAAGTATGTTATACACAAGGAATTTGTTTCCGGTACAGAACCGAGGCAGAGCCATGGCTCTGACCATCAGGGGCTACTTGGCAGGCCATAGCTCTGACCATCAGGGGCTACTTGGCAGTTCAGTGTCTTGCCCAAAGAAACTTTGACAAATGGATTACAGACACCGAGATTTGAATCTGCGACTCTCCGGTTGGGAGACGACTGTTCTACCCACTGAACCACTTTTGCCCCCAGAGTTAGTGGATTCACTACCCACCCCCCACCACCACATTATTATCACTCCAATGTCACCTTTTATTTGAAAGGACAGTGGGTTTTTAGTAGCCAGATCCTTCACTTAGGTGAAAGGTCCAATACTCTCTACTACACATTACAAGTTAAAGCCCCATATTCAAAATCCTGCTAAACTAATAGTATATTAATAATAGATTTAAAAGATGTATGCAAGGTAGACTGTTATGAATAAAATCACTCATTGTGCATGGAATCTTCCCCTGTGATTCATATTCTGTTAAAGTGTATATGACACAGTGAGAATATTAATACTGATACCTTAACGTATAAGTAGAGTTAGGGTTGAAGTACAAACACCAGATAAATCGCATCCTCAGATAAAGATAAATCTGATATGATTAAACTTCTGCTACTCATCTGTTTTACTTTTTGAGGGATTTTCTTTTTCTGGACTCTTCAGGAGTCATATAGGTATTTCAGTTGAATCAATGTGAAAGGTTTAGAGGGGAATTAGCCTGTCTCTCTGATGGAACTGGGATGCTGCCACAAGGCTCTGACTCACTATGAGTAAGTTTGTAAATGATGACAAGAAATGTGCTAAAAAAAAAAAGCACTACAGAGAATGTGGACTAGCCAGTTCTGAGCGGTGCCAAGGGATCAACCTCTGTTTTCAAAATACTGCCAACACTGACCTCTGCTGACAGTTCTACTTTAACAGCATAGCTTCTTTCTTTTAAACAGCATACTGACAAAAGAGAAGGTGAACGAACCCCCCAATGAAAAACAGGTCTATGGTAACCCAGTAAACCTGTAATTATATAGTATAAACGTCTGGATATCTAATTAATTCATAAGCACTGTGTTTACCACTGGCGTTGCTGAGTGAATAGTGTCGCACCAACACAGAGCTGGTGATGTCACTGCAGGTGCGGTGCTTGTCTCAGCTGTGACAGGAAAACTCCTGTTTGATGCCACTAACTGGGGTGTGGTAAACATATACCCAGGCTAATTTCTTTGACCTTATATTTCCTTGAGAGTACTTGTTAACAATCTAGAGATACTACATATGCTGTCAACAGAAAAGCCTGAATTCCACTGGCAGATTTTAGCTGTAACCTGAGCTGGTCACACCATGAGTATGGGACATACTTTTTTAGTAGTTATTATTAAGGCTTTCTTCACAATTTGAGTCAAAAAAAAGCCTAAATTCTAAATTTAAAAATTATAGATGTAGAGTAGTGTTAACAGAGAAGCCACCTAAAGTGCTAAGACACTTCTGTGAAATGTTGTGATCTTACTTTTTTAAAATAATTCACTGGAAATCCTGGGAACATTTCAAATTTTCAGATATATTTTTCAGTGTTTCAAATGCTGAAATTGTTGAGTAATTTAAAAAAAAAAAACATTCTCCACAGCTCTGTTACCTAGTCTTGGTTTCACTGCTTTTAGTAAATAACAGGGACACAGTCTCTCCATCTCTCTCTCCACTAACAGATCCACAAATTAGACTTTCATAAACTCAATACATTGACATCTGATGAAGCTGACATCAGAGTTTCTTGTCACCTGCCAGACATGGTAGGCACCAGGGTATAAATATTTAAGCAGGTATTAAACTTGACTCACTTATTCACTCACCATAACTCATAGCCCCAGTTTTAAAAAAAGTATGCAGTGGAACTTATTATGCATTCACATACTTTGTTATTTAATAATAAAATCAAAAATGTATTTGTTATGCACAGAAAGAAGCACCATCTGCTAGAGTCATCCCTGAATCTGTCCATCTTTCCCACAGGACTACTTAACCAAAGACTTTATTTATTGTAATTATTAACTGCTTTAGGTTGTTGTCTCTTGTGCATTAAATTTGGTAAAACATCAAAATTACTCAAATTTCCATCAAGAAGAAGATGTAACCTTTCCTCACATTTTGTACATCAGACAGAATATTTGACTGTACTAAGGCTCCTCAATCCCAAATTACTTCCCCACACCCGCACAGACAGACACATTACTTGCTCAATATTGTAAACTTCAGTGCATGTTATGTTTACAGTGGCTGTGGCTGTTTTGTAAATGGAGCTGTTTTCCAGAGCCAGGCCATCATTTCTCAGTAAACTCTTTGAGATGATTTAATTCAATTATAACAAATTCAGAAAAACTATGTGTAACATTGCAGCAACAAATCCTACAGCTACAGTTTTACAACTATCAGCTGTCCCTGTAGTGAGAAAGCTCATTAGACTTGTACATGCTGTACTCTAAGTGACCTCTGTAGAGGAAGGAAACAGGGAGCTTCTATATTTGGACACCAAACACCATCTAGTCTTTGGATTTCTCAGGTTGCTCTAGCCCGATAACACTTCTTCTTCCTGCCTGTGCTGCCAAGGCCCAAATAATCTGTAGCTCCTCTATTCCAGCAACTAGTGGAAAGCATCGCTTAGCACAGGGAAATCTTGGGAAATGTCATGTGTCATGTGACCGTGCTTGGTTTTCAGCTTAGTTTTCACTTCTTTCATCTTTTCACATTCACTCACACTGACATAAAAAAATAGGACTCTTCTTTTCTAATTACAGCCGAGTAACACTTCCCTTCTCCTTTCTTTGAGGGAAGACAATCTGAGCTTGTTACTATACTTTACACTAATTTGCTGCCTTTGTTGTGGAGAAGACAAAATTATTCACTCTGTACCAGAGTGTGCGTTTGTGCCATACCCAAATGCCAGATGGAGAATGAAATTGTAGTTAGTGAAAGCAGATTTCAAATGAGTGAACAAAAACGTTTTGTTCAAAAGCATGCCATTACAGGTCTAATTAAAATACATTTAAAATAAATTCTGTAATGTTGCATTGATAGTCTACTAGCTGTTCACCTGTGAGCCAATTGATTTTCACGATAAACTTTCAACACCTGATGATCGGTAGTACACAAGACTAACCAGACAGTTTGTGGAACCTGTGTGACTCCTACAGACTACTGAGAGCTGCTGCCTCCCTGCTTCCCGCAGCAGACTCCACTTAGAAACACTACAGACTCCAAGTACACATTATGACCTTAGAGTGGAAGAGCCTGAACTAACAGTGTTTGGGCAATGGATCAAACAGAAGTTGGGGTCGCTACCCCGCTCCAGACTCGTGATAAAAGCATATTCCCCAGTGTGAAGTTTGCTGCTTGTTGTGATTGCATTGCCTGCTCTCAGCAGTTGACGGGATATAAAATCCAGCTGCAGAGCAACTATGCTCACAAGAAAACCAAACAGCCACTCGTTGCTGACGCCTGAAACGGAAATTACAGACACTTTGGATTCATAGAGAACTGAATCATCCAAGGCCAAGCCACACCATCTGGTGTTCTGTCAAATTGTGGTATGGTGTGGTGATATGCTACCTTAGTAGTCGAGTCTATGGATAATCATAATAATCACCTTTATTTGGCCAAGTATGTTATACACAAGGAATTTGTTTCCGGTACAGAACCGAGGCAGAGCCATGGCTCTGACCATCAGGGGCTACTTGGCAGTTCAGTGTCTTGCCCAAAGACACTTTGACATATGGATTACAGACACCGAGATTTGAATCTGCGACTCTCCGGTTGGGAGACGACTGTTCTACCCACTGAACCACTTTTGCCCCCAGAGTTAGTGGATTCACTACCCACCCCCCACCACCACATTATTATCACTCCAATGTCACCTTTTATTTGAAAGGACAGTGGGTTTTTAGTAGCCAGATCCTTCACTTAGGTGAAAGGTCCAATACTCTCTACTACACTTTACAAGTTAAAGCCCCATATTCAAAATCCTGCTAAACTAATAGTATATTAATAATAGATTTAAAAGATGTATGCAAGGTAGACTGTTATGAATAAAATCACTCATTGTGCATGGAATCTTCCCCTGTGATTCATATTCTGTTAAAGTGTATATGACACAGTGAGAATATTAATACTGATACCTTAACGTATAAGTAGAGTTAGGGTTGAAGTACAAACACAAGATAAATCGCATCCTCAGATAAAGATAAATCTGATATGATTAAACTTCTGCTACTCATCTGTTTTACTTTTTGAGGGATTTTCTTTTTCTGGACTCTTCAGGAGTCATATAGGTATTTCAGTTGAATCAATGTGAAAGGTTTAGAGGGGAATTAGCCTGTCTCTCTGATGGAACTGGGATGCTGCGACAAGGCTCTGACTCACTATGAGTAAGTTTGTAAATGATGACAAGAAATGTGCTAAAAAAAAAAAGCACTACAGAGAATGTGGACTAGCCAGTTCTGAGCGGTGCCAAGGGATCAACCTCTGTTTTCAAAATACTGCCAACACTGACCTCTGCTGACAGTTCTACTTTAACAGCATAGCTTCTTTCTTTTAAACAGCATACTGACAAAAGAGAAGGTGAACGAACCCCCCAATGAAAAACAGGTATATGGTAACCCAGTAAACCTGTAATTATATAGTATAAAAGTCTTGATATCTAATTAATTCATAAGCACTGTGTTTACCACTGGCGTTGCTGAGTGAATAGTGTCGCACCAACACAGAGCTGGTGATGTCACTGCAGGTGCGGTGCTTGTCTCAGCTGTGACAGGAAAACTCCTGTTTGATGCCACTAACTGGGGTGTGGTAAACATGTACCCACGCTAATTTCTTTGACCTTGTATTTCCTTGAGAGTTCTTGTTAACAATCTAGAGATACTACATGTGCTGTCAACAGAAAAGCCTGAATTCCACTGGCAGATTTTAGCTGTAACCTGAGCTGGTCACACCATGAGTATGGGACATACTTTTTTAGTAGTTATTATTAAGGCTTTCTTCACAATTTGAGTCAAAAAAAAAGCCTAAATTCTAAATTTAAAAATTATAGATGTAGAGTAGTGTTAACAGAGAAGCCACCTAAAGTGCTAAGACACTTCTGTGAAATGTTGTGATCTTACTTTTTTAAAATAATTCACTGGAAATCCTGGGAACATAGACCCATATCTAAGGTGAATCAGAGCAGAAGGCCCATTCACATTTTGTACAGTAAGTGGGCCTGAACTGCACCTGGATCATATTCAGTGAAACCACTGTTGTTCTGGGCCATGTATCCCCAGTAATAACACAGATGATGAACAACTGGAACAGGAATAAACATTTGTAGACCTTGGTTTGGTTCTGACAGGAAGTATTTATTAAGCTCTTATCTTTCAAGATTAAATACAAATCTGCATTATGTGGTCATAAATGTTAGCTAATTATAAACAAATGTGATTACAAACAACCTGTAATAATCCATCCATTTTCTATACCGCTTAGTCCCCAGCTGCAGGCAAGATACACCCTGGACAGGTCGCCAGTCCATTGCAGGCCTAACACACACACTCCTACGGGCAATTTAGAGACACCAATCAACCATATGCTGCATGTCTTTGGACTGCGGGAGGAAGCCGGAGAGAACCCACGCAACCATGGGGAGAACACGCAAACTCAAACAGAAAGGCCCCAGGTCAAGTATTTATTAAGCTCTTATCTTTCAAGATTAAATACAAATCTGCATTATGTGGTCATAAATGTTAGCTAATTATAAACAAATGTGATTACAATCACCTTCTTGCTCGGAGACAACAGCACTAACCACCGCGCCATCGTGCTGCCCAGCTGTAGTAATGCATTTTATAAACAGTTCTTCCTGCTAACTAAGCTAGTAAAATTTTTAGGACTGCTTACTCTTTTAAAATGGCTATAAACAGAAAGGCCCCAGGTCAAGTATTTATTAAGCTCTTATCTTTCAAGATTAAATACAAATCTGCATTATGTGGTCATAAATGTTAGCTAATTATAAACAAGTGTGATTACAATCACCTTCTTGCTCGGAGACAACAGCACTAACCACCGCGCCATCGTGCTGCCCAGCTGTAGTAATGCATTTTATAAACAGTTCTTCCTGCTAACTAAGCTAGTAAAATTTTTAGGTCTGCTTACTCTTTTAAAATGGCTAAATGTATGTAAACAAAGCTTTAATGGTCTCCATATATGAACACTTCTATATTTCAAGGTCATTTTTTTAAAGAATTTTTTATTTTTTAATTCTTTTATTCTTTAAAATTCTTTAATTTTTTAAAAGTATGTGTTTCATAGTGCATTATTTTTGCAGATTTTTCTTAAATTTAGTCTGAATGCTATAAGTCCTTCTTTAAAGTTATCAAGAGTTATGCTGGAAAAAGTTTCACCCACCAGACAGTTTGAGGTAGACGTGACGATATGACACATACTGCAGCTCCCCTCTCGACATCATCTGTACTCAATCAGATACTCTGGGTAGATTTGATTTGAATCAAAAATAACAAAAATAGTGGGATGATCGATGTAATCCACACAGCTGTCATGAAGGAGTTCCAGTGTCCCATGATCAGGTTTTTGGAAATGAGGTTCTCCAACAGTTGATTTTCCAATCATCACCAGAGCTAAGAATATTATTCTAATATTTCCGCACTGTGGCTGAAAATGCCTGCTGATGTGTCTGTCCGAGTATGATGCATGTTTTGCAAAATACACTCCTAAATAAAAACAAGGTCACATCAGTGGGGTAGTATAGGTCTGTATAGGTTTTCACAGACAGTTACTGAATAATTTAACTTACCTTTGCCATAACTGTCACCAAGTTTTCCAGCTAAACGCACATCAAAGTTGTACTTGCATATACTTTTAACATTATTGATATCAGTTCCATGAAAAAGTCTTTTCTCTTGAATTTCTTTGACACAGTGAATCCTCATTAACTGTTGCTTTTTCCTTTGACACAAATAACAAAAAGACAATTTAATAGTAGAGAATGATGAATAGGATGAAGGGAATGGAGAGAACCCAAGTTAAAAATCCTCTTACCTACAATACTGTTCCCAAAGGTCCATATTCTGTATCCTCTTGATTGATACAATTTTTTTGTCCAACAGCCCCTCCTGCTTCACATAATCTGCCACAGGCTT